AGGGGGTGGTCAACAAAGGCGTCGTGACAAAAGAAATGGGCTGCTTCGACTGCACTGGCCTGGCTGTCCACCCCCTGTGGACGCCCCTGCCAGGAGCAACGGACTTGGTGCCACCAGAGAGTCCTCTCCGTCCGACCTGGTGCGGTGGGGAAGCAGCAGCGCCTCTGCGCCTCCGTTGCTGCAAGCCACCCAGCGGTGGAGGGGAGGCAGGCTCTGGCGGGCAGCGGCTTGATTGGGCGTGGGGTTGGTGAAACTTTGCAGGGCCAGCAAGGCCTTCTGGCACTGATTTTGGCGGGCCCTTTTGCAGGAGACTTGATCCACCTCGTCAACGCTGTTTCCCAGGAGTCAGAGCGACAGGAACTCTACAGTGCTCAGAATAGGGTGCAGGTTGCTTCCAAAGCATACGCCTTGTCCACTGACTTGATGCGCATCCTAATGAAGTCACGAGTCCTCAACGAGGAGCCCCTGGAGTTGGCTGGGAGCAACATCACAGCCAGAGGGAAACGAGCTGACCCCCTCACCCTGCTCTGCTATGAGGACACCCCAGGCTGCCAGTTCTCCATCCCTCCAGCTTTCAGAGCCACCTTCTCTGACCTGACGGATGTCGTCCAGGTCATCTTCCATGTCGACTACAACCCGTTTCCCTTTGGGTACATCACCAACTACAGCGTCTCCTCCGAAGTGGCTTCCATGGAGTTTCAGAGCAGCAATGGGACAGAAATAGCAGTTGGTAGCCTGGATTTGGAAAAGGCCATCACCGTGATGGTTGTGGATGCTGGTCTGAAGAACATCACTGTGGGGACGGTGGTGGTAGAGGAGAAGAATTCAGTGAACGTGGTGGTCTCGATGGAGAACAGCAACACAGAAGCTGGGCTGTATTTCCAGATCACCTTTAGCATCGTCACTGGTAGGTGCCTGAATGAGACAACCCTGTATATTGGTTGGCCTCCCGGAATTACTAACCCTGAGTCTAGCACTGTGGTCTTCTTCAAGAGCTGAAGGAAGCACAGATTCAGAGCATTAGAAGGGATCACCTAGTCCAGCCCCTGTTCAGGGCAGGAAGAGCATGTTGTGGGGACACCTGAGGAACAGCAGGTGAACATCGCAGCTCACATACCCCTGTGCCATTCTTTTTTTTTAATAGTAATTTTATTAAAAATTACAGTTGCAAAGATAAAAACTAATGCAAACTAAAAAATAAAAAAATAGGAGATGCAGAAAAGAGAAAAATAGAAAGAAAAATAGAAAAGAAAGAAAAAATAAGAATATAATAAAGAAAAAGAAAAGAAATCTGTAAAGAAATGACTTCCCCCTTCATCACAAGAAGTATAAACAATTTTAGTAACTTATCACCTTCTCTTAAAATATAACAAATGATCTCTTCTTCCCATATCCCATCTCTTATGTATAGAAAAATCCATAAAGCCTCGTTGTTTCAGTCCTGATCAGCAAAAGTCCATTAAGGATTACCAGAGATAAAAACATACCCATTTTAACCTTGATCAAATAAACCCACTTTATATTCCTTCCTTTTACTTCTAACCATCTTGATCTTCAGTCCCTTCAAATCATGTCCTAGAACTTGATTTCTTTTCATTTTTTCTTTGTACCTTCTCACAAAATTCTCGCAACTTTAACAGGCCTCTTCTGTAAATCCAACCTAGGAACGCCTGTGCCCATTCTAGAGGGTGACAGTTCCCCCAGCAAGCCTTGTCCTAGTCCATGGCAGTTCTGCTCCCCCGTCCGCACTTCCAGCCTGAGAGTGGAGAAAACTTTACCGCCTCTGCACAAGAAGGGCCCGGAGGCTGTGATGGCCGCTCTTGTCCTTCCACCCCCACCCTCCCTCAGGGCTAAAGGGGTCCTGGTGTTTGACCCCTGTCCTTGTGCCACTGAATTTGGACGGCGTGTGTGGAAGGCACATCCGGCACTTCTGTGAGGCCAGGAGGGGGAGAAAAGCTGTCCTATCCGACGGTGATCAGGACAAACGCCCATCCCTGATTAAAGTTCTGGTTAAAATTAACGACCTGTCGGGGGGGGCGGGCGTGTGTCAAAAAGTCACGCCTTTTTAATGCGCATGGATGTGAGGTGTGTAAAAAAGGGGTGTAGCTTTGATTGGACAGTTGTCTCTGCCATCTTGACTTTTTTGAATGCCCCCACCAGCCTGTAAAATCAGGTATCCTGTTTAAAAGCTGACTCCCCAAAGGCACCCGACACCCACCGTTCTCCTTTGTGCACAGGAAATCCTGTCATGCGCAGTTCTGTATGTCCCCCATTCTCTCCTCCACCTTCTTAGCAGAAAGGGCAAAAATGGAAAAGCTAAAAAACAGGGCAGAGGAAAGGAGGGAGGAGTGGGTGGGAATGAGGCAAGGGGATGGATAGCTGGAGAAGGGAAGGCAGGCAGGCAGGCAGGCAGGCAGGCAGCCCTCTTTTGGCTTCAAAAATGTCTCCTCCAGGGAAGGGGCTTCTCCCAGGCAGCAGACACCGCTCAGGCTGCTTCCCGGCCAGAAAAGTCAGGCCCGGTGGGCCCCTGAGTGGGAAACCACCAGGATGTTTCAGACCAGAGGGAAGGAAGGCGAGAACTGCCCCCAGGCAGTTGCAACCCCTTCGGCATTGCAGGCAGTCATCTTCGGAGCTCCCTCACAAAGCCTCACCTCTTCCCCTTGGGGAATGTAGAACGGCGCTTTCTGAATGATTTGGGGCAGGCAGGGGGGCAGTGTTTGGCCATGGAAAGAGTTCAGCACTTCTGCTCATAGGACAGCTGGATCTGAATTCGAACTCAGGCAGGGAGGGAGGCCCTGGGAGGCCCCGGTCTGAATTTGGAAGCCGCTTGCTCCTCAAGACCCCAGGCTTCAGTGCTAGGACGCTGAAGGTTGTAAATGCCGGAGGGACGGCGGCATGGAAGTCGGTCTCTTTGCTGCCAACCCACGCTGTCTTCTCTCTGCCCCCTCCCCGACGGCCAGATCGTTACGTCTCCAGGGAGAAGGAGCCGTTTCTTGCCGTCTGCCTCTTCCACTCCCCTGAATCCGGAGAGCACAACTGCACGGCCTCCAAGGAGATCTCTCTGGAGGATATGAAGGAGGGGCTGCAGGGCGACCCACGGCGCTACACCTTCTTCGTTCCCCCTGGGTGAGTGGGACCTCCGGGGCTGAAGCAGACTCGGACCCGAATGAGCTGCTGGGGGTCTGCAGGCCGGTTGTTCCTGGGGAGGAAGCAATCAGGGACTTGTTCCGGGGAGGGGGCGCCTTCTGTGCTGCGCTGTGAAGCTTGTCTTTCTAGTGCTGCGAGGGAATCCCTGGCCAGCGCAGGGGACACCTGGGAGCAAAGGAGGGCTGGGCGAGGAAGCTTTCCGCCCACCGAGGCCTGCCTGCCGGAGAAATGGGTGCAAGGGGCCGGCTGGCTGAGCCGGTTTCCTCACCGCTTGGTTCCCTCTCTGCTTTAGGATTGCTGACACAGTGAGGGACCATCGCTTGAACATCACCAGCCATTTTGCATGGTCCCCTGTGGAGGTGACTCTGGGTCTGTACAGCTCCTTGTGCCAGTATTTCAACGAGGAAGAGGCTCGTTGGAAGACAGAAGGGATGGCTCCCTTGGAGGGGGCCACTCCAGAGAAAGCCGTGTGCTTAACCCAGCACCTGACTGCTTTTGGGGCAAGCCTCTTTGTCCCCTCGCACTCCGTGCAGTTCATCAAGCCGGTGAGCTTCGAGGGCTGCTTTGGGTATTATGCACGGCTTCTGTTTTTAATTTCTTGTACCTTGGCGGTGGCTGTTGTTATTTTTGGGTCAGAAGGACTTTACTTTTCCTCCTTGCACGAGAGCTGGCGGGTGGGTCCGATCCTTCCCTGAAGTCTTTCCCTGTGGGGAGGGGGACCCAGCCGCAAACGGAAAGGTGGAATTCTCCCATCTCGTCACTAAACAGAAGCAGCTCAGGGGCCAAGGCTGTAAGTACAGTGATCATATGTCTTTATTATAAAAGACAGTCCTTTATTTCAGAAAGCTGCCTTTTAGATTTATTTATTTTTTCAAAAACCCGCTTTTGTCCTTTATTTCGATCATTTAACTTTTACCATACAAATGCACAGTCTTTCACATTCACGTGAAAAAATTTTCATATAGAAATTGAATTGTCTTTTTAAAATAAATTTACATATACTGTTTGCTTTTAGATATTTTTACTAGAACATGCTTTTTTGTAAAGTTTTTTTGGGTTTTGCTCTTGAATTTTCCTTTGTAAAGCAAAGTTATAAACACAAACAACTAAAAATTCTTATCCTTATGAACCTCTCAGATTTGCCCCTTTTTCAGGTTTGTCCTTTATTTTTTCCAGAAAAATATGGTCACCATGGCTATAAGCCATTTGGAATAAGTATTAACAATGAAGAATCATTAACAACTTAATGCAACCAACACAAACCAGTAGCATGGTCTTTCCTCATTCCCATATGTTTGCCTGAAGATCCATTTGGATGCATAATAAGGTCAGGGATAGGCCCTCATGGCCAGTGAAGCCCCTGCAGATGGCATTCCTTTGGTGGTGGGGCTCTCAGCAACTGCTTTGTGGCCTTCGCCCACTGAAGGGGGGTCCTGCCTCCTTCCACTGTTGATACCCTTAAGCAGCTTCAGTGGCCAGGATGGGTGTCTTTCATATCCTCTGCCGTTTGGGAGGGGTTTTCTTCTGCAAACTGTAGCACCCTCTCCATGCCTTTACTTTCTACTTCTCTCAAGAGTTGGGTATGCTTCTCCCCTTTTTCTGGAATATTTGGAACCCCATGAACTTCAGCTGTCCAGGAACAGGGACTGTGCAAATTCCTGTCCTGTCCTGTGCCTTCTTCCAGGCTCCCTTCTGTAATATTTCAGCCCAACCCCCTCTAGATCCTCTGAATGGATGACTTTTGCACACTTGGAGAAGTTACAAGAGATTGTGTCCTCGGCAGACTCCATCGGCTTTTGCCAGCCCTCCTCCTCTCTGTTGCTAGAGTGTTTTTGCTGCTTCTGCAGGTGCACGTGACCTGTTTCAGTGCCCTGGAGAGCCTCAGCAGAGGAGCCTGTAGAAACCTGTGTGGAAATATGTCCTCAAAGTATCTAAAATTCTCCTGTAAAACATCAGACTTGTATTCCTTGTCCCTTTGTTCTGCAACCTCATTTCTAGGCTGAATATGCCCTTCCTTGCAAGGGACAGATCTTCACAGGGGCCCTTCCTTAATCCATCACTGTCTCTAACTCCTTCGCATCCCCCTCCCTTTCCCTGAGCTGGGCCGCAGCCTGTTTCCCAGAGCCCCTCTTTTGGACTGTTCCATTCCTAGCCAGACGGCACAGAAGCAGCCATTATGACTGTCTCACCCTTTGAGCATTTTGATGATCTATAACAATTTATTGTTAACTTCCCCCAAACAAATAATCTGAACATTGTGTGTATACGTATGGTTCAATAAAGTCGGTCCTGTTTTTTTAAAAAAAGGGTGATATATGTAGGTTACTGGGTAGATATACTCATATATATTACATATATATTTCATATATGTTACTACCAAAGTGCATCCAGATGTGGACTAAACACTGGCTGAAGAACCAGAAAGTTACCACTCTCTGAAATGTACGTTGCCTTTCCTTCAGCCTCCAGGCCCCGGGTTCAACTACATAGTTCTGCTGACTTGTGCTGTCTGTCTGGTGACCTACTCCATGGCAGCTGTGATTGTGCACAAATTGGATCTGATCGACATTAATCGCGTGGGGTCGATCCCTTTCTGTGGGAAGAATGGGCTGTACAGATATGAAATCTTGGTGAAAACAGGCTGGGGCAAAGGGTCAGGTTAGTATCCGCAGATCCTTTGGGGCTCTTTTCACCATCGTATTAACAACGGGGTTAAACTTTGAGAAATGCAATGCAATGAAATGTCCCCTTCCTTGGGAATGAGGCTGAATTCCTTCCCAACATCATGG